TGTGACTTTGTATGAAATGTTTGTTCACGTAGAGAGATTGTGCCCATAAGATTCAACCTACTCACAATTACCATGTGAATATTTCTTGACCGTCTAAATGTATCTCAACGTGTAAAATGCGATACATGCCAATATAATGTTGTGTAATTGTACATCGCTCAAAAGGAGGAAGTAGAAAAGTTACATCCGAAAGGTTTACATAAGCATTATGATGAAAGTCCAAAACCCCAAATACATTTTTTGTCGTACTAATACTGGTGAAGTATTGAAGGATTACAAATTCTGGAACAAAATCACTCGTATTTGTGCATACAACGTTAAACATGTTTGTGAAAATGTAATTGAAATGTTTAGATTTACCTAGATCTGTACATGTAATGTAGCGATGACGCATCTGAGTCTACCCACATTTCATTTATTAGTTTTAATTATTAGTATTAATTATGAAGATTGGAGTGAGTGTTGGTGCAGAGAGAATTCGTGAACCACCGGCCATTCGGCATTGGCATTCCGTTATCCAAAGGAGCTCGTTCATTTTAAAATTAAACAGTGTTTGGAAACTAAGAAACTATAAGTTACTTACGCAAAATAATGAGAAAATAATAAAGCACTGGAAAGTTAATGACACAGATGGAGACGCAACATTTCTTTTTCCTTCTTGAAACCGTGCCTCTCTTATAAGTGAGCTCTCACGAACGGAAGTAGAAGCAATAGTGTTGACCAAGAAAAAGAAATATATATATAAAAATTCGAAAAGAGCACATGGAAAACGGTGGTAACGTACAACGCTGTCCCATCTGAATCTCGAATGGCCACATGGCCCAGATGCGGACGAGATACGGCTAGTGCATCTGTCGGCGACGCGCGCACACGTCTCGGTCGTTTGTTTGCACAGACCGCAATGCACCCAACAGCGCATTGTCTCCTTCCGCAGGATCGACTAGGGATATTCCGCGCTCCGGTGACTATCAATGCCAGAACAAACATTATCTCGCAATATTTAATTTCCATAATTTCGGACAAGAGATCCAGAAGTAAAATATACGAGAACGGTGTTACTGATCTTGGGAAGAGGATTATATAACATACCACAACTGGTACCTGGATTTCCGTCAGCGTGAAAATAAATGTAGAGGAAAGGACACACGCGGAGGTAGCGAATAGAGCGTTCAATGCGCTGGTGCAGAACACCGCAAATCCGTCTGTCATCAGGGGAGCGCCGCGCCGTTTAGGACCCGCTGCAGTCTGAGGCGGCGGGGGTTGGGCTGGGCGCAACGGCGCACGCGCTGTCCGTCACTGTCGCCGCCAGCTGATGCCGGGCGCGAGGGGTCGGGGGGGGGGGGGGTCGGGGTTGCGGGGCGTTGCCGCCGCGCGAACGTGCCCCCGGGGAGCGATGGTGGTGGCCGCCACCCCCCTCCCCCGCCTTTCGTTGCGTCGGGTGCGCCCGGCGCGACCGCACCAGTGCGTGTGCGCGCTTGCGGACTGCGAGCGGGCGCCGGGCCGAGGGCCAGGAGAGGGAACGCTTGGGCAATTAAAAACACAAGCAGAGCAATTACTTGCACCCTTAAACATCTTTATTCTTTCCTAATGTTGCCTTTCTCTCACTGATGATACACGAAATGGCAGCCTTTTTTTTCCACCTGTATTATATGGAAGACTTTCTTCTTATTTCTAGGTGTTAACATTTTTAATGGGTTTCCTTTCTCATGATGAACTGTAATTGAAAACATGTAAACAGTTTTAATCTTACGTGTGCCATTTTCAACATTTATGAAGAGAGATTATCGGGCAAAAACGCCCACGAATGCTTGCAATTTACACGGAAGATTGACTATCATTTATTTTATCCCTTAACTAACAATAGGTCTGTGTTGCTAACTGTCTTAAGAATAGTTTTCCAATTGTGTTTATCTGAGTTCAGCCATTCTCCAGAATCTTTACGCGTTTGCAGAGTTCGAATATTGTGCATGTTTTCTTGCGTGCCGCCTTGGTGATGAGCTTCATACGCTTAAGGACATGCCCCTCTCATCCCGTACGCTTTATTTTTTAAACCTCTTGAAATAGCTGTTTAAACGAAAGCATTTGAAAACTAGTTGACTCTAATAATAAACATTGACCTACTGTCCATGTAAACCGAACTGCTCTTGTTGAATCGCAGTGAAAAGACCGTAAACCTCTTGAGTATCTCTCTCAGATTTTGCTGTGTCAAGACTCTGAAAGGTCTATTAACGGTTCCATATGGGTGACGGGGAAGTTACACCTGTCGTCAAGTGCGTCAAAGCAGATGTCAAGTCTTGCGAATGTTATGTCAGTTGAGCGGAGAAATCCGCCAACTTAAGCCCCTCCGTCGGTGCGAGGGAGTATGTCAGACCCATTAGCGGCGCTCCTCTCTCTCCGTCTTAAATATCCTCTTTCTCGTTTGCTCCTCAAACTTGTGAAAGTCCCAGTGACCCAGAGTTGGTGATTCTGTCACATTTGTTTTTTCTCTTGATCTGTGCGTCTTGAATGCAGTTTTTTCTCACTTATTTCATGATCGTGAACTTTGGTTTAAGTACTTCGAACTGAACTAATATAGGAGGATATTTAGCTGTGCGTTCGTACTATTCTGCAGATTCGGAGAGACCGTGTGCGGTTTTGCTCCAATTCCGCTTTAGTGATGGATCGAATAATCGCACTTTCGGATAGACAAAACTGTGGCAGCCTTGCCATTACTATTAAAACCCTTTTCTTATCTGGCCGACCGTGGAAAGAGTTATTGCCTTCAGCTTTATGACAAATACGAGAATCAAGATGTAAGACTTGGAGTATCGGCGAATTGTTTTCTTCTAGACTTTTTTTGGCTGACTTGCTGTTGGGGCACGTCAGCTGTGGTGAGATTGTCAATACGCGCAGTATGAGAATAGGTGCAATAACTCAATCTAATATTTCCATTTTCAGTCAAAATCGAAACTGTATCATTGTTTTTGGATTTCCCCTAGTTCCTAGGTGTCGAACGAATCCATAGACCTTCTCACCTGGCCAGAGGCTGCGTAGTCTTGTTTAAAGTTCTGCGCCTATTGAACATTCGTAATGTAGATTCTGTTGCCCTGGAATAGTTTAATAAACTATTAATGAGGGGGTGAAGCAAAGCGCATAGCCTCGAGGCAGATCACGCGAGCGAGAGTCGATATTTGGTCAAGTCACTTCGGATAGGAATTGCTTAGTTATATTACCATGATGTGTTTTTATTAATGAAAATATGACCGTGAAATTTAACATTCATAACCTTTAAATTTCCTAAATGCAAACACTGCACCGTCATCTACACATCCACAGCGTGATGTCAGTGATACCATAGCTTCTGGATGTGGGTTATTTATCTGTTCATTTTATTATAACTATTCTAGGAATGATATACCTTCACCAACCATCCTCTTCCGTTGTAACACACTTAGAGCAGAGCATACTTCAAATGTTTTTTTTTATTTCAATAATAATGTTGGAGTCTTTACGCACTTTGATTAGAAAATAATGGAAATGAAAGAAATGGTCGTATTAGGAATTTGTTTATCAACTTGTTTTTTTGAACGGTTCAAATATTAAAAATGAATCTGGCATTTGATTTTTCCTTTAAATTATGATTTCATACGATATATGATTATTTTCTGTCAAACTCTACAGTATCCGAAAATTGCGAGGGGAAAAAAAAGTTGGCTACCCCTCAAAATAGCGACTAGGGCGTTGGCTGGTCATTTTTATTTGACCAAGTTGGTCTCTTGTTCCAACTCCGGTGACTTCGCGGCTGATATGCGGTCAAGAAACAGGATTCGCGGCATACGTTTCCTGTTCATGATGTTTTCCTGTTTCCTCATTCCATCACAGCTGCTTAAAACTCGTACTTTATCCCATTATTGTTACTACATGCTGTGGGCACAAGCGAAAGCAAGTTTTGTAAGGAATCGTCATAATGAATTATAAAAAAATATGAAAGGCTCTATCGGAGACTATGCTTCAATGGATCTCATCAGTCTTCTGTCTGCTCTGGAGGATGTATGGAAATTACCTAACCAAATGCACAAAATGAATTATAATTGTTGAATGCTTTCATAGTGAACATACTTTAAGTTCTTAGTGGACTCGTTACTTTTACAAACTCGCATTTGAGGTTTACTGTGGTTACGCAAGGCTAGGGCTCCATACGGTAGTTGCATCAAGTGAGGACCGACAACTATCCCATCTTCGCACGCGACACATAGTGGTCGAATAATGTTCTCTATCCCACTGTACTGAAGTACCGGGAATGATTGTCCAAGAGCCTTAAGATATTAGTGCCATGTGGTGTTCGCCACACGACGCCTGTTTAACAACTGAATGACCTCATGAGCTGGCCTAGGACAACAACTTTTGCCTCTGTAGTGACTCCGCAAGTGATCCTTGGCTTAGTTTCGACGGGGCAGATTTTGAATTATTACTATATTGCTAGATCTAATTCAGTCGATCACTGGAGAAGAATTCTAGGGGCCGGCTGTTCTAATCGTTATTTTATGCGGTTTCTTCGCTCAATACCAGGCGGATGTTGGAACAGTATCTTTACATACAAGCCGCTGTTTCTTTCCTCTTATAGTCCCGTTATCTTCTCTTACACACACACACACACACACACACACACACATACATACATTCATTAAACTTTCGCACATGTCGGGGTCATACAACCTCTCCCGACACAGGCGGTGCCCAGCTGACGGAGATTCCTGATGGGGGAAAAACCACAAGCTGACATGTTCGTTGGCGTCGGATCTCACGTTTCAGCAGGGGAGGAACATCGCCACCTCCCGGGATACACAACACTAATGGAGTCAGTGACCATAGTACACGTAGTTGTCGTGTTCGGGAACACACAATCAATGTCACTGAAATGAAAGAATTTTCCGACGGTAGTTGTTAGCTGATGTCTTTCTATTGTCTGTGAATCTTTCTCGGGAAGCTGCAAACTGTGAACATTGGCCTCTCTGTTGCAGGTGTCGGCGCACGACACGCTGACGTCGGTGGCGGCGCGCTTCGACACCACGCCGTCGGAGCTGGCGGAGATCAACCGGCTGGCCACGCGCCTCGTCTTCCCGGGGCAGGTCCTGCAGGTGCCGCTGAAGGACGGCACCGGCACCGGCGCGTCGGCGGTGGCGGCGGCGGCTGTGACGCCGTGCCGCGGCGCTTGGACCCCGGCCGACCCCACGGCGGCCGCCGCAGCCGCCCCCGCCGCGCCCGCGGCGCCCGCCGCGCCCCTCGCCCTCGGCGATCACGCGCTCGCCGCCGGTCAGTGCCGTTATCCTCTGTATTTATGTATATCCAAGTAAAATAGTCATTTTTACGCACCAGGGGCGTTATAAAGGATCTAATGATCGAGCTGCGACAAAACGCCAAAGGGATTTTGTCCACCGAGATCATTAAAGCCAGTTAATCTCCGCGGTACGAACATAATTAATTTCATTCTTTTACCTAATTTTATTGATTCAAATTTACTTATTTACTAATTAACTAAATGTAACTTAACTCGTGTCGTCTTTTCCTTTGTGCCCTCCCATAGTCCCCTTTCATAACTCCTTCTCATAATTCCCTCCATAAGAGTACATGTAACAACATTCAACTGTTCTCATATTTCCCTCGTAATGACGATCCTCTCGAACCAGGTGAGTAATACAGTGAATATCGGGCTCCGTATCGACAGCAACAAGCAATAAGGTATCAGTAAAAATAAATATTTATATTGTATCTTATCTTGTTCACAAGCACGTTAAATAGTGAGGAAAGTAATTTTAAAATGAGTGTTGATCCCATATACTTCGGTACAGCGAAGAGGTGTACGAATTTTCATTGCTCCACTTCGTATACCTCTAATTGTTTATAATTGTTGGTAATGAACAGCTGTTTATTAATATATTAAGAATAGATTTTCGTTCCGGTTTGGCTGCGTCAAGTCGATTTAACAATTCAATATTACCAAAAAGGATTAAGGGCTTTTAATCACTAGTATTTTGTTTTTCTAATCGTGCCGCCTTCTGTTGGCAGAGGGCGCGACGGGCGAGCGGCCCCTGACCCCGCTGCAATGGGCGTCGAGCGGCACGCCCCCTCCGTCGGCGATGGGGCCGGCCCTCGCCTCCGTGCCCACGCGGGGCGAAGGGGGCCCGCCGCTACCGCCCCCGTCGTCCGAATGCCGCTTCCTCAAGATCAACGTGCGCCACATCACGGACGGGCAGGGCGTGGTGAGCGGCGTGCTGCTCGTCACGCCCAACGCCGTCATGTTCGACCCCAACGTCTCCGACCCGCTGGTCATCGAGCACGGGCCCGAGTCGTACGGCGTGATCGCTCCCATGGAGTTCGTGGCCAACGCCGCCATCTACCACGACATCGCCCACATGCGGGTCTCCAGCGCGGATAGGTGAGCCTCTAGCCTCTTCCGGTTACACCAGGACTTACAACTGAGTTCCTTAGATCGCTTTGATTCATTGTCACTGATGTTGCTCTCCCTCGCGACGAATGGTGCCTGAAAGTGAAAAATTAATGGGTTCTTTCAAATAACAGGTCCACGCTCGCGTACTTCGTTATTCATTTAATGCAGTAAGTCAGATGTAAGCAGACAAATAAAAGTTACGGAGAAATTCAAGATTAGAGTAAATGTCGGAGTTTAAGACGGAAAACAAGGTCGTTGTGGAAACGAGGTTGGTAGTGACAACGTGAAAGCATAGAACCAGAACGTTGAACTAACAAGACATACAGCTTCAAAGCACACTACAGATTTTTTAAATTAATCGACCTCCTAGAAATGTCATAAGTTTCGCGATGCCCGTGTCGTTAAAGCAGCACGTTATTTCTAGGGTGGATGAAATGTTGAGACGATTAAACGAACATTTGTCTTGAAAATGAAATCTAGGAATGGGGAGTAACCCACAGTTCAGAAATCAGTGGGCGAATGTATGTAACCTACCTGAAAACATCTAATCTTCTGGTTAAAGGTGCACGAAAAAGGACATCCTTACTCGTCCAGATCAAACGATTAGTAATGACCATTCTGTCATCGAAAAGTCTCTTGGAATCAACCTAATTCGTAGGCCAGCGAGACCTACTTTTTTTTTTTTTTTTTGCGCGGAAAATTTATGTGCGATCATTTCTTCGCCTAACTGAGAACGATAAAACAAAAGTTTGTTTTTGAAACGTGACAATTACCCTGGACTGTCAAGCAATATAGGCAACTTGCTTTCAGCCTAGGTGAAATATTAGCGAAAAGGACAAAGATGAAATGACAAAATAGTATAGCACGACATACTAGATGCAGATTAAAAGGATGCACAGATATGTCTGACTCTGTTTATTTGGGGGTGGAGAAGTTTTGTCATACAGCTTAGTTTAAAACTGTACATGATGGTTGCGGGCAAGAAGAAATAATTCTCCAGGCTTTCCCTCATACACTGCTTGAAACCATCTGCCCGGTTTTTCTTCTGTGGTCGACCAGGGCCCTCATTCCTCTGCACCAGAAGTATCCAGAAGGGCGGGGGGGATACTTGTCAACTTAACTTGTCACGGGCGCCGACGGAATTAGGTCACGATTTTTTAAACTAAAAAATGGAATTTTAATTCTAATGAACCGCTATTTCTATGTAATAGGGATTTCTAATTAACAGCCATTTCTCAACCGATATTTCTACATAATAGAGAAATGTTTATTTATTGGGGAAACGTTTGTTTGAAAAGACTGAATACAATGCTTACGAAGAGAAAGAGTTTTAGAAAAAATTCCATTTATTTGGGGGGGGAAATTCCATCCTCGGATGGAAGATTTGACATCGTGCTTCAGTTTATGACTCGTGACCACTGCGGGAATTCTACTCAGATGGATCGGCAATCGGATCGTCTCGTTGTGAGAGAATAAAACATAGCTCAGTGTTCAGGTAAAGTAAGCTTCTGTCGGCAGCCAACACTATAGGAAGGTTCCCTTGAGTCCATAAGGTCCATGAACGAACATTGTGAAGAAAATGATTGTGAAATTGTGAAATTCTGCATCAGTGAACTATTGGGAATGATTTCAAAGGGATGATTAAGTAACATCTAAAATAGTACACATCCTCCAGACTTCTTACGAACTACCCACGTCCATCACATATGACTCTTTCACATTTTTCAAAGCACTCGCGCCATACCCGTTGTATTTCAGTGTATTTTACCGCTTACGTTACTTGTACGTAGTTATAATTCACTTGGACTATTGAAATTCGTTTGAATAATGCTTAATTTATTAATGATTTAAATTGTGTTGTTCATGATTATTTTTATTCAAATGTTTACCATTTGTCACTTCTGTCTTGACCCCAGATGTGCAACAGAGGTCTTCTTGAAAGAGCGTTTTTGTGAAATATTTGTAACTAATGTCCGATATTGTATCTTTGTAATTGTATCTAATGTATTGACCTTGTATCTTGAAAATCATGTCGATCGTGGTGTAGTTGTATAGTAACGCTCTTCCCCCACTCTTCGCAGGGCGAGCGGCGCCGGCAGCGTGGCCAACGCCGGCCCGCGGCCGGAGGTGTACCACCCGGCGCGCGCGCGCTCGCCGGGCAAGGACTCGCTGCTGCCCAAGGACGAGACGTTCCCGGAGCTGCAGGCGGCGCACGCGGCGGGCGACGGGGACGACGAGGGCGACGGCGAGGACGGCGAGCTGGCTTCGTCGGCCGGGTCGTCGCGCGACGGCGACGCCTTCCCCAAGGCGTTCGATCGCGACCGCGTCACGCCCACGCCCGGCGCGCCCCCGCGCCCGTCCTCCTCCTCCGCCGGCGACGGCGACAGCAGCCGGCAGGTAGGCGGCGATCACCGTGCCCTCCCTTCCGTCAAGGTTTAAAAATCTGCTTGTGCTTCTCCTACGTACACGCGTAGGGGATGGTATGTTGTACCAACAAGCCGTGCAGCGCTGGTTTCGTATTTTTGGTACTAGATGTTTACAAATTCACATCCCTATGCTTTTACTTGGACCCCATGGTTTTGGTCCAGTTTTTCAAAATACTTAATTTCGTTAAAAAAAATTTAAATTACAGGAAGAATGTGGTTTCGGGGTGATCCCTACTAAATGCTCTGTACACGTAGTTGTAAAGAATAATAGATCAATATGAAATGTAATACGATCAGCAAGTAATTAAACAGTGTTTGACGACAATGACAATCATTTATTGTCACTTGTGTAGGATTGTAGTTTATCTGCAATCTTTTAAATAATAATAGTATCTAAAAATTTCTGTAATGCTTGTTTCTATGACTAAGTGGAATTAATGATTTTTTAAGGAGACGTTTTAACGTATCATCACCTGCGTAAATGGTTGGCAGGAAAAAGTCGCAGGTTTTTGCCAAGTCTGCATTCGTATACTGAACGTGACGAATATCATCTTTACCACCATCAAACACATGATTTTTCCATTCCCTGGATCAGGTGTCGTAAGTTTTAAGTTGGTAGCATTGTGCCCTGCTTCTTTGACATCTCCTCGCTTTTTTATAATTTCCGTTAGTGCTGCACACTGTTGCTGCTGTTGCCGCTGCCGCGGGAGGCGGCGTCGTGGTCGCCGCCGCTGCCGCCCTTCTCTCGTGACTTTTTCTCTTCTCCCCCCGCTCGCGGCCTCCCCTCCCTAACCGCTCCGCGTGGTGCAGGTGTCGTTGGACTCGTGCCCCTCGCCGGCGCCACCCAGCGACCTTCTCCTCGAGCGCCGGCGCTCTACCCTGGACCACCACTGGCCGCAGCTCAGCCTCGACAAGAGCAACGGCCACCACCACAATCACCAGCAGCAGCAGCAGCAGCAGCAACCCGGGGCGGGGGCCGGTGCGGCGCCGCTACGGCAAGGAAGGCGGTGGCGGCGCGCTTGTGAACTCAGCTCCACGATTCTCTGGCATCGACATCCGCGACGGGCGACAGCTCGACGGCCCCGCGCACGCGGCCCCGCCCCCGCGACGCTCGCGCGCCGAGCTGAGCGCATCCGCCCCTCCCCTTCCGCCCCCCCCTCCACCACCACCCTCGTCCTCCTCGACCCCCACCCCCCCACCCCCGCCTGCACGCCCTGCACGCTTCGCACGCTCACCCAGCCGTTCCAGTTTGTGCACGCCCCACCTCACCCTGATGGACTCGTGCTGACTCGACGAAAACGATCACACGAGTGAAATCGAACATTGCCATATTTCGTTTGGTGAAAGATACAAATATATTATCAAAAAACAATCGATATAATATTGAAATTTGAAACGCCAGAATAGGCGTGCGTAGTTTAAAACAAGAGGGAGCCCACATTTCTTAGCCCTCTTCTTCATTTTTTTTTCACCCAAAGTATTTTAATAGTAAATAAATAAAATACTACTATGATACAAAATGTAACTGTGAAGATGAAAATAAAAAAAAATTATGTTCAATCATTTACAGGTTTATCAGATGGGCTTGGGAAGCCTTTTCTCTAGATAAACTCGTATAACATTTCGAAAATTGTCAGATTAAAAAGAGGAGGAAATCAGGGATTGAATATATTTAAAGAAATAAAATATTTTATCGTTACACTATGGGGGCTGCAATCAAAATTTGTAAATCCCCCCCCCAGTGGGCACGCTTGCTAGTGGACATTAGTGACATTCCCATTCAAGTTTCGAGCATTGAAATGTCAAAATTTGGCGATTCCCATTGTAATGTACCAATATTATTTCCAAAATTGAAATACAGTCCAAACAAAATATTTATTTTTAAGTCATTTTAATTTCGTAGTATATTTTCACTAAAATTTTGTTTCAATTTAATTGTCTAAAGTTTTGAATGGAAATGTAAATAAATAGATAAATGAAGATGCATCTTTAAATATTGATATGAAACTAAATTCAAGCACAAGTTTCAACACTTTATTTTATAAATTTTGAAGTTAAAGAATTATATATTTTGAACTTATCCAAGAATTTTATTAATTCAAAGTTTCTGCATTCGTCTCTTCAATAATAATTTTTTCAACATTTCAAAATAACTTTGAAATGTGTGTAATTTGGAAGAACATAACACGTACTCAAAACATGTAAAGATGTATCTCACCAACGCTTCCTGTATTTCCTTATTCTGCATTGGGTATGCTAATATTGACGTTTCTCCAAATTTCTTTCTTTCACTTTGATTGTGTCTTTCTTTCACTTTGATTGTCTTTCTTTATGCATGATTTAACAAACATTTTTCTTATTTCATTCTGAGTTTTTCTTTCTTTGCTGTTTTCTTGAAGTTCATGAAGCACTACTTCTAGTTGAAAGAAGTAGTGAAACAAATTGTGGAGACTGCTTGACTCCTGGTTCAGGAAATGTTACTATCATGAAGTTCTCCATAACAGTGTTTCTGACTGTGTGTCAATGGACTTACTATCTTTCAGCATGAATGTGTACCCGTAACCACACTTTTCTTGCATGTCAAACGCAAGATTGTTGAACATATGTTATTAACGTCTTTTTAGTTCACAAAAGTGCAACTACAAAATAAGTATGCTACCATTCTTTATAACAAATCATTGTGAAATGAGAATTTTTGTTATAAATTAAGGCGTTCTGTTTGGCATAAATCTTTGCTTGAGTGAACTCATACCAACATGATGCGAAAAGATTAATTTTTTATTAAAACCTAACCTAAAAGTTTTGAAATGAAATGACACACTTGCAACAGACAAACCTACCTGAACTGCAACACTAGCCTTAAATATAAAAGTACTTTTCACAAAATATGTTAACAGTAATGGAACATACTTATTAAAACATCTCTCTTTATCAATTCTTGTTTGCATTGTATTTCTGCCTCTTGTTGGAAAAATACTCACTTGTTGTTTTTTGTCATTTTATTATTTTTAACTTAAACAAAAGATCGTAGGAGTTACCAGTTTACTCTTACAGTGCAAAAAGTGTTGGAATGCATGTGATGCTATTATTACACACATTGCTATTAAAGAAGATATACTATAATATAAACTGTAATCATAAGCAGCCAGATAGTGTGCATCTAAATCAAATATTTAGCATATAATATTTTTTTATTATAAATGTATACAGTAAACTGGTATCTTACTTCAGATAATTTAGTGATATTGTCTAATCAACACAACAATTCTTTCTGTGACCTCTGTGCAAATTGATAAGATTGTTATTAATTGATGCAAAAGTCAATATCTCGATGTTGTCTACTCATTGTTTGTTTTCATTCTCAGATAGTACTATTCTACAGTGTATTGTTCTAAATTTAATATGCATCATTTTTAACCTTTCTGCTTTATATAAATATACATTGTACAAATGGAAATGTTAACTATAGGAAAAGCTCTGTATGTTGAAGGAATAATACTTACTGAAATCTGCATACAGGCTTTTGTCATGTTTGGGTTTTAATACCTTAATATTTTATTATCTGATTTGCATGAAATGGACATTCAAATACATCCAAAATTATCTAGTATCTTTCTCTTAAATATTCTAAGATTTATCATGCTAATTGATCATAAAAAATAAATAATTTCATTAATTGCTTTTGCATGTTTGTACATCAAATGTTTGATGATATATTTGCATCACTTACTCTCTGTTAAAAAATTGCATGATTCTTAATAATTTGTTTGTGAATGGATTTAAACTGATTTGATTCTTGAAAACTTACTGTAATTGAAACCCAATGGCATATTTACTTTTGTTGTACTGTGTTGTACTGTGTTGTGGAGTATGTATGTTCTTGTTTTTAGCCTATATGTTGAATCAAAAATATTCCCTGTAAGTAATATTACACAAATTGTGAGAATAATTCATAACTTTAATTTTTGCAAAAAGAAAGTTCTTGTTAATTTTCTTGGTACTAACTAGTATATTGTTCTTTATTTTGTCTTCCTTTTAATGGTCTAAATAGAACTCCAGAATTGTCACACAGATTATTTCAAAATATTTTGTTTAGATGTGTAATATTTTGAATACCAAATATTTTGAGATGCTAATTAATATTTCAGCTTTATCTCAAGAGTTGTTCTTTACATACATTAGCATGACAGTCTGGATTGAATTTGTTTTGTTTCAAATATTGATCATACATTTTTGCCGTCAGGGTCAAGAGGATGAAGAGCCAGAGATCATCATGCCAAGCAAAAAGGTTTTCTCTGATGCAGACATCATCCTTGCCCCAAAAACAGAGTGGGTACCTCCTGTTACCACTTATAACACAGTAACTGGTAACAATGGTACAACCCATACCTCATCTTTGGAAGCTCCCAGCACAGGTGACAGTGCTCGCAAGAAAACTTCATCTGTATCATTTAGCTTGGAGTCAAATCCAGAATCTGATAGTCGAGATTCTGAAGATAGTCACAAAACAGAAGACAGTGAGAAGCAAGAAACTCGCAAAAACAAGGTATGCAAAATGGAACCTTGTGCAAAACTTTTCTTTGCTTATATGCTGAATTAAAGCAACTGAAATAAGTTATAAAGATGTGCTAAATGATGCACTTGTGTAAATTAAATTAATGGAAAAATAATTTTAAATATTTTTCATTTTACTGTATAATTAGTTTATTATTGTCAAGAAATCCAAAACACAACATGCATGTTTCTTTAATATGAGAATATCCTGAGGTATAAAATGTGCACCTTATGATCTAATGAGCCACTTGTTAATTAATGTGAACTAGCTGAATGATTTTAATAAATAAATAATGCGTGTTCTTAATATGACAATATTTTTAGATATTTTTTTCTTCTTCTTAGCAGTTGGGTTGACCCCTAACCAGATCTTCTAGTACCTAACTTCTTACTATGCTCTAATGCTTAATGTTCTGGGAGATATCTACCATCCAGCAATTATCTTCTCTACACTGTCTCTCTGTTTTTATTCAATTAAATAATTGAATAAAAAAGCAGGTCACAGTCAAACCCTCTTCCTTCTTTCTTCCAGCTGTCAATCTACAAGCTTCTTTAGGAACATGCTATTCTGCATACTCTTCAAATGTCCAAACAATGGCATTGTTTCCTTTGAATTTTGTGTAGTATATCCTGCTTCAGTCTCGCCTTAAAATTCCTGTGGATCTCCTCAGGGAGTCAATTTTTAGACTTTGTTCTGTTTTTCGGAGAGTTGCCGTATCTCAGCACCATTCAATACACCTTGAATTATTACTCTATATATTATTAAATTATTCTTCTACTGATATTCCTGTCTCATAAGATAGAGTTCAGGGAACCAATAAATTTTCTGCCTTGTTTGGCGTATTCCAAACTCTGTCTCATAATCTCTGATTCCTATTTTTTACCCCTAAATATTTTATTTCTTCAGTTATCTTACATAATTTCCAGTACATTGATTTCTGGAAGATTTTGGCTACTTTCCATGCATCAAAATTAAATTTTTTTATCCTAATAATTCCTCTAATAGATATTCTCTAGAATTTAGTTTAATGTCCAAGTTTAAAATAATTTTGAATTTGCTTTTTAAATTATTGTTCTCAAAGTTGTATTGTTTCTATTTTGCTTGCAGATGCTAAAGCGACTTTCATACCCTCTTGCATGGATGGAAGGACTTACAGGGGAAAAAGATGACAAAGATGTTTTGACAGGGCTACCAGGTCACCAGTCGGCAGAGGCTCCTGCTGCTGAAGGCCAGCACCATGGATCTGTCTTCTCAAAGGTTTTTTCAAGGTACAACTCATACTAACTTAATATTGTTATGCTTCTTCCAATGCTCTCTTACTTAAAGTTCTTTATTTTATTGCTACTACTAACTCTTTGTACATACTACTTTTAGGAATGTAAACAGAGTACTTTCCTGACAAAATGACAAAACATTGCTTGCAATCCTTATAGTACAAGTATTAACATTTTTAGTAGAATATACTCTTGCTAGTATTTTGTTCGTGGTTATAATAAAAAATTTTCATCAAAGACTTGGATTTTTTTTTTCTTTCTTTACATTATTATCTCATTATTACGTATCAATGTACATAGTACTTTTCTTTGCAATATGAAGAATGTACATGTTCATTGTTCAGAATGAAAATACATTGCTTTTAGAAGTTTTATGGAGCTTTGAGCTCTAAATGTACATCATTTGTATATTTCATTAGTATTTGTGATGTCAAAGAGTGCTCTGTTTCTGGTTTTCTCCAGTTTCTGTTTAGAGAAAACTCATAACATTATTTTCTTTTAATTAAACCTGACTAATATGCTCATATAACATTAATTTAGGTCATTTCAACTTCATAACTAGTTGTGTACATAGCATTTGTGTCCAAAGGAAAATGAGCAGGTGTGTGCATGCATGAATGAAAGTTTAAGAACACTTGTTGAGACATTGAACTGGTGATCCTCATCTCCTGTTTTTGTCAGTAGGATATAAATTAGATATGATCTTCTAGTAAGGAATTTCTTTCGCAATTTTAGCAGCTTTGTTTCTACCTTTCTATAAAGAAAAAGTCTTCCAAAACCAATACAGCTTAATAAATTGATAACTTAGATTGGCATGAAGACTTAAGAAATCAGACTTCATGACTTTCTTCATGTTGTCAAGATAGATGTATATAGAGTACCAGCACTGTTTGTGTGTAATGCACCCCTGTGAGCTGTATGAAAGATGTGTGCGCTATTGGAGCTTGCTGAATGTCCTGTGTTGGGTAGCTCGCCCATCAACCTCGTGGACTTTGGGACGGGCCTTTTCCTCATGAAGACCCCCAGTGAAGAAAGCAGCAAGTCCCCGGGGCCCGGCCCCCCACCCCCAACACCCGCAACTCTCAGCGAGGGCGGGACAGCCGCCGAGGGGTAAGCCTCGGCTGGAGTCCATGTCGTGTTCCTTTCCCCTGCTGCATGTGGTGCTCACTGTTGGGCACCCAGCTGCACTTGATGTGTCTCTCCTTCAAGGTGGCTCGTTTACTCAAGCTCTTGTACAGGTCTCATAAACTGGATCATGCTGCACTTTGTGATGAGGTGTACCATCAAAGCAAGTTTTTTCATTACTAGAGTTTTAATAGAACACATGGTAATATGATGCGTTCTCTCCTCCATTTGTGTGTTTAAGATTTTTCTGCTGCCCTGAATCCCAAACAAATTTGAGCTAATCTAAGATCAAAATATTATGTGAATTGGAATCTGTAATGGTTTTTTCTAGCTACATTTGATTGGTTTTGACTCGGCATAAGGAATCCAAATTCAATAACACTTAACAAATATCAATATAAATTTGTGTTAGTGCTACATAATGTTTAAAAAAGAGTAATTTAATCAACAAAAATGTGTTTAACTGTACTGGATTTGCTCTTTATAATCAGATGTGCTTGAAATCCACTGTCAAACTGTTTTTAAAAATAATTTTTATGCTTTTACAGAGAATTAAAATACAAAATTAAAAATTTATTTTTCTATCTTATAAAATATTTTATTAATGCAATAAAATTAAATATTTAGTTTAAATCTTACCACTATCATAATTAAAAGAGCTGTGCAAAGTTGCAAAGTAATGATGTTTTGAAGATGTTATTCAGAAATGGATTCAGAATGTGGGTTATCCATGCTGGGTTTAAATATTAAGGTATATCTGTGTTGGTCAGTATTGGGTAAGCGAGCCTATAGATAAAGGGTACCCAAACTATCTTAAATTGTAAGGAATATTAAACTATGTGTAAAATACTGTTGTAACAAGTTCTTGACAGTTGTTGACAAGTTCTTTAATACATCATTTGTGTGTGAAATTTAGGGCTTTTTGATTAATTAATTGTAATGAGCAAATAAATGCTAATTTGTAAAAGGAAAAGAAGAGAAAAAAATTAAAAATCTTTTGATACTGTATATGTTGGTTTTGTGATAATGGAAAAAGACTGTGTCTGAGACTCAGTTCGACACAAGTTTTATTTTCTCATAACATCGTATTCATATCATATGTTGCATTTAAACATTCTGAATAAATAAAAAAACAAACTGTAAATTTTTGTTTACAAACTTTGATGTAAATTTTCAGGCTTGTATTTAGAAAACATTCTGAACCAGAATGCAGAAAATATTCATTGTCACTTTGTAATGTTATCTTGTCTCTGCGCACGCACACACATACACACATATAATGGAGCATACTTTCAGTTTCTGAGGTTTAGATTTAATGGGAAAGTCAATACGTTAAATTAAGAATAAATTTTAATTAATATAAGTGGCTGCTAAGTCCTTCCTTGGTAAATGCAGAAAATATATTGAAATAGATAATTCTGTGCTCTGGGATAAAATGTGTGAACTAGGGTAATATTAAAATCATTAGGTAAGTTATATGTAGTATGCACAGCTAGTAATGTAATAGTAAAATCAATTGAAGTTTAACTGTAACTGGGACAATAAAAATAATAGAAATTGGGAATTAAAAGTATTTTACAACATCCTCAATAGTTCTTCTTGAAATAAGTAGTAATGTGCATATGTGCAAAATCAAATGTATTGTTTATTGCTATTTTTAGTTCACATGATCCTAAAAAGAGAGAACAGAATGATACCAAACATAAACAAAAGAAATAGATAATGACATTAACTTGTGAAAAACTTATGTCAAAAAAACTTTTCATTAGTTTGGGAACCCTTATTCCATGTGACTGTTAGAACGTAGCGTGAAACCAGTGGGCCAGTTGTGCTTCATCCTACATGTAACACAGCATGCAGCTTGTGTTGTTGCATGTGTGTTTTCTCAGTGCTTGTGATGGCCGCAATGTGGCGAAGAAAATAATTTCTTCAAAAGTGGCTTTGTGATAATAAAGTAATAAGGCTCTGCACAAGACAAACACAAGTAAACACTCATGTCACAACTCAAATTGCACATATCGTAGGTTGCAGAGCTTCTTGATGCCATGATAACATTCTCTGGATTTGTTGAATAATTAAATTTCAGTAATGGTTAACTATTTTATCATTACAAATATTACCAAACTTGGTGTCGTGGACATTGCTATTTTTGTTGTTGTGGATTTATTTTTCATAACATCATGAGAAAGAATATTGCATACTTCTGTGAAGTATTAAATTGCTATGTAGTATCTACCCCATCTCTGCAGTTATGTCTGCAGACTAGGTGTTAGGCTTGATTAAGTTCTACAAGGGTCTGGTAGCTGGACTAATAAGTTTCATCTACATAATGACCATTTAGCACTGGAATGTAATGTACTGGATTCTCACTGCTTCAAAAGTTGTTTGAATGTACAACTTGCATGGAGGCAAATGTGAAAAGTAATCATGCTTGTTCTCTCATTGATAGAGATGTCATTATTAAGCAGTAAATGTTGTTTTGGTTTAGTTTAATTTATTATAAAACTGGTAATTATATTCCACAAATTCAGAGCAGTATTGTTTTATCACAGACTTCTGCTTATCATCACATTTTTTTCTGAAAACTATGTCTTCCAAGTTCTGTTGCTCTTGCTACCTTCTTCTCAGTATCTTCCTTCTGCCTTTCAGGACATACTCTCTTCTATCTATTTTCTTCCATCATATTTGTTAACAGCATGACTTGTGACGTAGTTATCTCTGTTAGATAGGTAGTTCCTTCTTTCATGCTTTTCATCACCCTTGAAACGAGTTGACTCAATGGGCATCTATGTAGATGGAAAGAAAAGTACTGGTGTATCTGTGTGTAAAGTGTTTTTTGTTTTCATAAAGATCTTCCCTTCCTTCATATAATATTAAAGTTCCTCCCATTTCTTGAGATAAAGTTACAGTGGATTTATTTGACAGAAAGGTAAAAGACAATTTTGTCTAGAATTTCATATTTTCGCATTTTATTTTCAGAAGAATTTCTGAAATTCTATGACACGTAAGTAATTTATTTCTTGTCTACATCTGCTGTGTGTGTGCTTTATCACATTATTTAATTAGTTTTGTTGTTTGCTAACAAATAAAATGCTTGATGGAAATGTGAAGTTTCTTGTGAGGGTTATTTGACTACTTTGTTTCTAATATATTGATGTTCTTCAGGCGTTCATCTGTTGGAACATTCATTCGCCAACCAACAACTCACCAAGAGAGACCTGCTCATGTGAAACCTCCTGCTCCAAAACTGGATTATCGTAGTATGGTTTCCGTTGAAGACATGCCAGAATTGTTTGTGTCCTTTGACAGTGAGTATCTATAGTTGTGCAAGTTTTGTTGCATGATAGGGAGTAGAATCCTGCAAGCTCTTGAGTTGGGTATATTTTAACTGCGGGGCTTGTATGGACTTTTTAGGCAGACACACAATGTCTTAGTGTAGAAAGAACTGTCTAACTTCAGCATGGCGTAATACTTTTTCTGAAAGAAGATAAGATTTGCAAGTTTGTCTATTTTTCTAAAGGAATAAGTAAAATAGCAAGAAAAGTGCTTTGAATAATTATTGTAGACAATTATTTCATCCAAAGTAAATGATAAATTGGAAGAAAATTCATTCCAATCCTTATTAATATAAAAATTCTGCATAATTTTTGTGAGGGGGGGGGGGGAATTCGAAAAAAATGCGTTGTATTCTGTGAAATATGCGTCTTGTCCAGGAATGAGATGGTCACACATGACCTAATAGAACCCACTTTTAGTAGACTAAGAATAAAAGAAATACTATTGTACAGGGAAAAAATGGATTATTTAAAATAAAGCCGTGCTGAAGAGACCATGACTTTGAGGCTGAGCTACTTAGAGCAGAGCACTGGGGTAGTGAGCTGTAGTTTACCTTTGTGTGTGCGTGGTATGGAATGGATCTGAGGATGGTTTTCAAGTATCTGAAACACAAAAATTGAACCAATTTGCAATAATAAACTGGAAGATTGTTACCAAAGTAATGATGAGATAAAAGACACACATTCTATTTCAAAGACAATATTTCTACAAATGAATTGTACTATATTACAACTGTTAGAAATTAACTCTTTCATATTTCTTTCTGAAATGAATAGCTGGAGATAATATTTATGCTTTTATAACTCTTCTACACCTTGTACTTACATTCTGTGAAATATTGTTACTTATTCATGTTTCTTTTCTGCAAGATTTTTATTTGAATAAGGAATTGATCTTTGTGGTTTTTTACTGATATATTAATGCTTTATTAACTATTTGGTATGTGTGTTCTAATTTTAACTGCTACAAGTGGGTTTATTTTACCGACTAACAATGTTGAACTCTTTTCTGAAAATCATTGGTTTAATGAAGTTATTAATTTAAACTAATTTTAGGAGCATTGCCAACATATGATCAAGAACATAAATTTGTGTTTAATATTCAGTGATTTCCAGCACAAAATTCATGAAATTCATAAGTTATGTTCATCTCATAATTTTCATTTTAAATTTACTTAAAAAGTAAGCTTTATTTACTGAAGCTAAAAGTTCAGGCAAAAGACTGGTCCTTACCATGAAACGATCTAAGAAAAGTAGCTAATTGTTCCGTATGTTGTTACTGATAATACGTAAACACAAGTTTATGCTTATTTTAATGTTAGTAATAATTGTAAAGCACATCATAATTGTGAACATAATATGCCCTTATGTTTTCTTAATCTTGCACACCTTTCATCCTGATCTTATTCTCAAAATTCTTTGGACTGAACTATAAGGTTGGCAGTGTTCCATGCCTTGAACTCTGCCAAACATTGCACTTCGTAATGAATTCAATATACTCTTGGTACTATTGCTACAGAAGTAAAGGAGTTTTTCTATTTTTTCTTTCTTTTTCTTTTAGTTCACGCTCCCAACTATCCCCTGCTCGAGGGGCTGGGTAGGTTTCACCACTAACATCTTGCGCTGGCTCGGGCTGGTCTGCTTGTCTGTGTGCTAGTCTTGTGCATGTGGGTGTTGTCTGTGTCATTTCGTGATGTGTTGTGTGTTGGAATGTGAGGATCCTTTCCCTGCACTGCTTTTAGTTGCATAGGTGGGTTTGGTGGCTGGCAGCCGGATTTTAAATGCAATTATTTATGATCAATTGTTCTCGCAAAAGTTTTAATAAGTGCACTTATATTTGTGAAACAACTCTGCTTAGAGGAAAATTTGCTGTTGGTTTCTGATCAAATATAATAAATATAAAGTAAAAATGGAAACTATTAAAGTATTTTTTAAATCAAAGGTAGTGTGTTATGAGAATCTGAATGTGAGAAAATAACATGTTGTGAACTAATGAGCACAATTTAAATTAAGAGCTGCACTTTGATGATCAGATGATTTTGTGTTATATTAAAACACAATGTATAAAAAGAAGTTATACATAATTAAATACTAATATATTTGGGTCCCTTGTTTTAAAAACTTCTCCAAGGAATGTTGTCTGTAGTTATAAAATTAATTTTATACAGTAGTTTCTAAACATTTAGTAATTAAGTGAGTATTTGCTAATATGCAGAAATTTATTACCATGCAGTTACAATCAATGTTCAAAATTTTACAGTTTAGTGTTTTTGTTTTGAAACATAGAATTAATTACTGTTATGTACATGATATTCTTGTATATAGCCGTTTTTCAATATTCATTGAAGTTCAATTCATTGACGATTTTCAGTAGATTCAATCAAGTATGATTTGACTGAACTAAGTAGAAAATGGGATCTTGAACTGTATCATGTAGGGTAAATTGTATCTGACAAGAAAATATTCTGCCGCCGGCCGTACGCTGCATGTTGGTGTGTAGACACTTTGCTTCTGGAAAGTGACGTACTCTGAAGCAAATTCTCGATTTTCCAGTCATGCGATGCATAGCAAGTAATCAACTAAATCAGGACAGTAGTTATTGCCATGGATAGGAATGAGTGTATTACATAACATGTGGGGGCAAGTGTACTTCAGTAAAAAAATACCAGTATTGTTGCAAGTCACTGCAAATAAAAAAAATCAAAGTTAGAACTATCGACGAGAATTTCAGACGAGTCATTTACAATACCGTTCCTTCGCCTGAAAGTTCTGTGCCCTCTGGAACAATTTCTTGATGTAATGATGTGCAAGCTCTTGAACGCCTGTTTGTACAGAAGTAACTTTCAACTTTTAGTTCCCTGCCAAAAAGAATAGAGAAGTTTTCGCAATATGTCATAATAAAAATAATCAAGAAACAGAATTTGCTTTGTAAGTACATCTCTTCAGAGTTACGATGGAGTAGGCGGGCATTATCCCTTGCAGGCCCGCTGGCCAACCGGCCTCCCGCCTTTCCCATTTAAATGTAGACGAGATATGGAGAGAGAAGTGATCGAATTTCTAAAGCTGACATTAAGCCCTTCCCACCTTCATCCGTTGAAGTACTCAACGTGCAGACGTTTAAAATAATGGAAACAAATTTTCTTCCGTGTCAAGGTTACAGAAAACTTAATAAAAATTGAATCCCTTTGTTACTGTGAATTATGAAGATTTTTTGTAGTATTGTCATTTCACGTTAATGTGTAGCAAAAATATTTTGTGTGTGTAAATGTAATTTTTGCTTTCAATCCTTTTTAAATTCGGTTGCTTGTAAAGAAGCATCAAATATAATTTGTTGAATAAATAAATCAATGAGTTAATGGAAAAAATATTGCGATACTGGAATTGATCAGAGTTATGCCTTGGAACAAAATATTTTGGCGAGTAACTCCCTTTACACATTACGAGGAATGAAAAGTATTCATTCAGAATTTGAATTTTCTAATTTTCTGTTCTTCTGGGAAGAGGTTTAGCTTCGTTTGATTCAATGCTAAGCAGAAACGCATTAAAGAAATAGTAATGGAAATGTCTTTTGTTGTCGTGGAGAAATTATTTGTGAAAGTGGCGTTTCATTGACACTTCAGTTCTCTTAAATTTAATTGGTAATAAATGTCATAAATGTTATTATTTTTCTAAAATAATTTTGTTAGTGCAATAAAAATCCCGTGGACAAAAACTTATGTCGAGCATACGGATTTCATTGATTAAAATTTACGTCAAAATGTCACTATCGCCTTTAATTCCAAGAGATTATAGATGATGGCGTATGGATAACAAAAGCAGTTATTTTATTTTCTTAAAACTGGAAAAAATCTAGAATTCGAAATTTCCTTAAACCGAAGAGAATCTTTATACGAGGTTTCGTTTTACTTTACTTCTTTTGTATTGCAGACTTTAGGATCGCCATTGATGATAACGTTATTTTGATATTTTGCTACGAAAGTTATTTCGTAGGGGGATTTAGTGTGCTTTCTCTATTATCATTTTCCTCGTCTTTCGAATGTTGCTTTCTCAGGATGGACTAACATGGGAACTTGTTTCATACGTTTTGCACATTGCACCTTATGGACATCTAACGCAGCTTTAAATATTATTAGCATCTACAACCGATTACCAATATTACACCAGTTAGTATGTTTTGGCATATTTTGAGCACTTTTTGACACATTGATCATTATATTTTTGCATTCACGAATTTACACGAGCACGACTCCTCTCATAATCAATTAAGACAAAATTCACCATTCTTGCCACCATTGACATTTGGCAGCAACGAGCAGTGAATCTGGAGTATTAGTTTCCGAAAATTAGGGAACTTGATTGCCTCTCGCATTGTGTTTTGTCGATGATGTTGAAAAATTGATTATGACGAAACACGTTTTCATGAAGTGTCTAGATGAAATGGTAAATGTATTAATGGAGATGATGTATCTAATTTACATAGTTCATTGCTAGTCATATTGGAACAATTTTGGATGCTATTTTGTAGCATCACCGACCTCTTGATCGCAAGTGAACCTTCGAACTTTCTTCAATCAACTAATGATATGAAAGTCCGATGTGGAAATCAGGACTGAAGGCGAGGTATCCATATCACTCCAACGTAATCGACTGGAATGTCCCAGTAAATGATAGTGGCACTGACCAACCAAACTGGCACTCTTAATAAGAAATGCCCATTAATAATAAACATTGCAAGTATAGCTATGGTTATTGGTTAACACTAAGCTGGTTCATTCAGAATTTTCTTTTTCGGAGGACAGAGAGAAAAGTGCGTTGTGATACTTGTTCACAGGATGTGAATGAAGTGTGCTGTCATTATGATACAGTGCATATTGTTCAAAAATAGGATATTCGTATAGAGTGTTCAATTGAACTCCTTCCATTTGCTACCGTGGTTTCTCGGTGCTGCCAGGTGCCAGCCGGCGACGTGTGCAGAGGGATGTCTCGGTCCACCCTGGGGAGCGGCAACGAGGGCATCGCCGCTTGTTTCTATCGACCTGCCTTTCTATCTCGTTGGTTCGTTCTCTCGCCTTTCGGCATGGTGTGTGTCCGCATGCCTCTGTCCTGTCGGAGTCTTGCCTTCGTCTACGCCGTCCTCCCTCTCCAACCCCCTCCCACCTCCCGCGTCCCTCGTCACCTCTTGGTCCCGCCCGCCCGCCCCCGGCGCGCGCCAGCGCTTCACGTCAACACCGACGATCAGCGTCCTTTGGCGGCCGCCTCGTGTAAGAGATGTTGCGCAAATTTGGAGGCCCACTAATTGGATTGGAGCTGTCTGCTCGAGAAAGGATCTGCGGCGAAGGAAACGTGCCTTCTTGCTTGTCTCGTCCTTTACTTTCACATCAGCGTCCGCCGGTGTAGTTCACCGGAAGGCTGTACACTTCGCCGGAACTTCGTTAAATAAATTGTTGGTATTAAATATAAAGAATTAATATTTTCAAATCATTGTGGAATGCCCTTCTACGCTTTTGATCGCTAATGATCTGCATTTTCTAAATAGGTAATAGGCAGTAAAGATCGTACCAAACGCAGTAGATTTGAATTATTTAGTTTACAGGGAGTTGCGAATTGTTTCGATATATTTTTAATAATTTGAATGTGAAAAAGGAAGTATTTTATTTTATTTTATTTTATTTTGTTTCGTATTGAATTTTTTGTTATAGTGTTGACATCATAAAAACTTAAAGTTAGTATAACTAAGTAATTTACTCCGTCGCCGAACGAACTTCATAAGCCTAATAAACAGAGTTTGCATAGATATTAATTAGAACAGAAATTCTGTTATATCAGAATTGCAATTGCATAGGTTAATAGAGGAGGTTAATTAGTTCAAGACTGCGAAGATCAAACAGTATTTTTTCTGTCAATATACATGAATACATGGAAGTTTGTGACTTCAGCAAAAACGTCGTGGCGAATTTTCGAGAGTAAATTGTATGCATGTTGCATGAATTTCGTACTTCGTCTTTTGCTCAGATTTGGAAGTGTTCTGAAATTTTGAAAAAGTTCTCAGTGTTCTAATTTTGAAGCAAAATGAGTTGCAGCTCATTGCCGGACATCATACGTGTACGTCATGCGTTTGTTCAAAGAAAAGCATGTTAAAAGTTGTTTATTTGTTCGTGGTTAGTACATTACTTGCGTAAGACGAAATAAGTGGTGCAGTCTAATGAGTGTGAGTACTTTGGGATGATCAAACAAAATTCCTTTTCGCTGAGGTAGGCCAACGAGGAAACCGGAGAATTTTCCGTTGGAGATTATACTATTTCTAGAAAAGCTTTGAATCAGAGTGAAAGAGGTTAGTCTTTTAACGTGCACTAACATGAATTCATTAACTGATAATTCGAAATGCCGGTGACCTTCAGAATTTTATTGACACCGGTAGGGGGTCTAATATATATTTTTTCCTTTTTATCCCTCCAAAGAATGTTATCGCAAATACTAACATAATATTTTCGATCTCTTTAATTACGTGGTAGGTTCAATCAAAGGTTATTTTAAGATGCATTGAAATGGAGTGAATTTTGTGTTTCAATATTAATAATATTGTAAAACGACAAAGAATTATTTAATGAATTAACTCTTAAAATTAATTCTCCTTTAAGTGTAAATGCACTGTATTTATTCATCTCTAGAAATTTCAAGATACCATGTAACTTTGACATAAATGTGATATGCTTCCCATTTGTTCGTTTACATAAAAAGTGATCGTACACGCTCGTGCCAGTTATTATCACGAATTTAGTTTGCAAGAAAAATTATTAGTTTATGTGACGTGAAGAAGACAAAAATTATATTTTCATTTTTTTTAAAATTTGTTTTAGCAGGTTGAGTTACGTCCCGGTAAATTATTCCCCAACATGTGCGATACATCGGTTGAGAAAGATCTGCTCACAGGCGAATGATAACAGAATTTCGCTGAAGTATCAATAGGATTACTGCATTCCCTACTGGTATTTTGGAGCGTAGGAGACGTTCTTTGCAGACAGAAAATGTCAAAATTCATAAGGACTTAGCCAAACAGTTCATCATTGCTCGTTCATCCATGTGCTTTTTTCGTATTAAGTTACAGAGGCTTTAATTAGAGATTATATTTATAGAAACTAAGGTTTTAAAAACGACGTAATTTTAAAATTAATTGTGTACAAATGTCGACGGAAGTCAGTGAATGTGCAAATACGCCTCTTGTTTCTCGTTGGGGGCCGTGGGGTGGGTGGAAGCGCTGGGCGCGGGGGCGCGAGAGCGTGTGTGGGCGTGAGAGGTGCGTGCGTGGGCGGGCACTGACGTGTGCGTGTTGCAGAGCTGATCCCGAGGCCAGCGCGCTCCTGTGAAGACCCGCCGCTGTACCTGCGCCTGCGCATGGGCAAGCCCATCGACAAGAAGATCCCCAAGTCCACGCCCATCATGTCGTACGGCAAGAAGAAGATGCGCCCCGAGTACTGGTTCAGCGTGCCCCGCAACAGGTGAGGGCCGCAGCCAGGTTACGTTTCTGCGTACTGCCGTTTTCTTGCATAAGTAAATAGGTTTTGTGGAAATTGTTGTAGTTAAGGAGGGTAATCCGCGTGAACATTTTAGAAGTAGTTGTCTTTCAACTACCAGATCACCAATAGCTAGGCAAATTTCATCTAAAGAAAATGTCTTGATAGAGTAGACTGTAGCGTCAATTGGCTTTAATTGAAAATTTGCTAAATCAACCGAGGTTTTGATTTGTGTTTAGGGAGACTGATTCACCGTACATTTCATTAGTGAAGAATCTCTAGAAGAATTTATCTAGAGTCATTACTTGAAACGCTTTTCAGAATGTTTTCAGGACCTTTTTACACATCTGCCTCTAAAATAAATTCCGGTGATAGTTTTTTAAGCTCTAAAGCAAGTACGAACTCTTCAACGTCTGAACTCATCATACCACGTATTACGTATATTCTAGCTAACTAGTAAACAACAGGAAACGCTTTTTGCGTATTAATGTTTATTCATTTCCTTGCCTTGCGCATAAGGAAGGAGTGGTCACTAGGCCAGTTACGTTACCTCATGCCCTAGCTACGCGTTGACTTTTTGTCAGAGGAGACGAAGGAACGAGAGGCGTTGTAAAAATAATTACGGTTAGTCCATTTCATTATTGAAATCTCACTGTGTCGGTTTAATTCCTTTCGAGATCTTTTTGCCCAGACATTTCCTGTATTACTGCTTATATGTGTATAAACTACCCGCTGTTATTTTATAGACAACAATCGTTTCAAATTACTTTTGTTGATATGGACTGTGATATGAAGTGAAGGCAAACTGGTGGTCATTAGTTCCTAATTAGCCATATTATCAATTCTGCGTTGTTAAAATGGATAACTTCCCCTTCCTATTTAATCTTGTGTTTACAAGAGGTAGTATCTCGTAAACCGTTCGAAGACTAGCACAGTTGAAAGGCAGCGTGTCGGCGTGCGCAGGGTGGACGAGCTGTACCAGTTCCTGTTGGCCTGGGTGCCGCACCTGTACGGCGACCTGGAGGAGGTGGACCCGCGCTCGCGGGGCTACGAGCTGGTGGAGTCCGACACGGAGCTGTGGGAGGAGGACGGAAACGGCGGCGCGGGCCCCGAGGGTGGCGGGCGCGGGCGGCGCTCGGGCTCCGGCTCCGGCGCCGCGGGCGACGACGCCGACCTGGGCGACCTGACGCGCGAGTCGTGGGAGGTGAGTGGCTGGACCGGCGGCGGCGCCCGGCCGCGCGTTTCGGTTGACGCGTGCACCTGTCGCCAAATAACTGCGAGCACGGCCTCCGTCGCGTCGCTGGGGAAGAGGGGAGATGATGGAATAGAGATGATCACATCTTTGAAACTGATATCGTAGGTTAGTCACCGCTGTGAACAGAGTTGTCTTCCCATTCAAGCAATCGGGCCGAAGAGATGCATGCGCTCTGTTCACAGTTCCGTTTCGTTGCAACGGTTCCGAAGCTCGTAGGTATTTGACGACATTCATAGTATCTCGTGCTCTTGACGTCGCTGACTTTTTAATGCCGCACATTATTGGTAGAAAGTTGATAGTGACGTGAAGAGCGCTGCCAAAAGGGACCGTCGGAAGTCAAAATATTTTTGCGTCACGACCTCTAACTATAATTTCTGTGTTTGACGAAAGCAGGTTGTGTTGGTGTTGATGCAGGTGTCTTTCGTGTCGTTAAGAAAATACTTGGACCCCATATATCCACGCGCGGTACCGGATTGCCCGTATGGAAAATAAACGTTCTGATTAGTTGTGCAATGTGCTTTCAAGTTGTTCAAGTTGACTTATGGTCGCCCAGTGGTGAAGTAATTTGGAAAAATGGATGCTTTCGATTTCTGAACGTACCATAATATGTCTTTGTATAAAACTTCACCGGGTCACTGCTTACAGTAATGTTTAAAAACGGTGCCAGTTTTCTTGTGAATGTGATACCCAATCCTTTATTACACGCATTATTTTCTTCGTAATTAGAAAATATCTAACGGGAGCTAATACGGGTTGATTGCCTTGTGATATTTTCGTTCTCATTTCCTTTTCACACGGATTCGTTCTGATGAATTTCTACACTTTTCTGTGTACGGTGAAATGAGAGCTTGAGAAGAACTTGGATTAATCAAAAGCGCTGCTTTATCAAAGTTGGATAAGTGACTTCAAAATATCGGAGTATCCTGGCATTCAAATGTGGAAGAACATGAAAGCCTGTTGCACCCATTCGCCCTGAAGTTCTCCCCCCCCCTCCCTCCTCTTGCTCCTCGGACCTTATGAGCTGCTTGCTTTTCGCAAACAGTTTTCAATGCTGTCATCGAGCAGACCTTGCTCGTGGCATTTTCAATTTACAAATAATCTTATTGAAATCGTATAAAGAATAATAATACCGAATTCGAAGTTGGCGTTTCTCTTTCGGCGTTGAGGAGGTCAGATGTAGCAGTAAATTGATGCATCTTTGGGCAGTGTGTGCAAGAAACTTGTGGAAGTGTAACCGTACACAAATCTTGTTGTACTTCGTTGTACGTTAAGGTTTGTAGTTTTTTGTAGTTGAGATTTTAATTAGTTAAACTGCAACGTGTTACACGTTAAAAAAATAACGCGAGAACTTATTAACTATCACTCTATCATATTTTTTTCAAAGAGCGAAGAAGTTTTCTAGTGAGCGTGAAGTATTTTTGAAGATGGTACTTGTGTATTCATGACGGACGCGAGTGTTAAAATATTAAGCACGCAGGGGATTAATTTCATTTTCCTTTTTCTCCCTCTCGCACGTGCTGTCGTGCCAAGGTACGAACTCGCACGAGTCTTATTAATATTCCCTAAAAGGTGACACTTCCACGACTTCCTTGACAGTCTCTCTTTTAAAGAGGCACTTGTAAACGGGGCTGACTCACTGCGAGTGGGCGGAGCAGGGCCGCGCCAGGCCGCGTTCCCAAGCGGGAAGCTTCCGCCCACGATGACGAGCAACAAGAGGGTTCGGCGGCGGAAGCCACGTGGCCGTGGCGTCGAGTTAAGTGAATGTGGCCTGCAAGGTAAAGATGATGCCGCTTATCCGGAAGAACCAGGCTCTCCTGCATGTCTTCCTGCTCGTTCGCGCAGATTGAAGTCATTTTTAAGTGCAATCTTCCTAACACACAGGTTGAGCCGAAACACAGGATGCTCAAGGTTTCCCCCCCGGAAATGTCTATAATTCTACATTTTAGTAGTTCACCTTATTTTCATCTCTTGTCTAAAAGAAACCGAAAGAACATTTTATTGGTTTTCACATTTTTATTTCAAACGTTTGTAAAAAAAGGGCAAAAAAGTTATTTCATTATTTTATGTAATTAAAAAATGTTAGAGGACTTGTTTATCATTGGCACTGGCAATGCTAATTAATTGTTATTCTATAACAGAAGAAAAACTAGTTGGAAAAAGTAGGAAGCAACATGTTACGAGCAAATTCTCTGTAAGTTCACTGTAGCTTTGTGCGGGAGAAAAGCTTTGTCAAAGAGATGGAAACACGCCCTAGAAGCCATCAGGTTGTTTCTCGTGAGCCTTCATCCGTTACGTGAGAGCGAGCATAATCAAGACGCTTGGGCGGCCCCAATGCAACTTTCCTTCCGCGGCGTCATCCTCACCTTGTCGGCCCAAGCAGCGGAGTGGTCCTCGATTGACCTCCTGCGTCTTCGGGCGGCCTTGGCGGGCGGCCTGTGCCGCTTTCGCCGCCGACGTCGCAGCCGTAGCAGAGTGCTTTGACCTCCCCGCCGCCGGTTTCACTCGGACGCCAGCGTCGTCCGCGCCCCCTTCCATCCGAAACTCTCCGCACCCGGATCCCGTCCGCCTCCACAAACCTCACCCCATCGACTCGAGCACGCAAGCCGAGCTCCCGTGCGCAAGCGCTGCGTAGATGACGAAGTAGTGGTTGGTAGCAACTTGGTCGGTAGAGGACGAGGCTGGGTTGTGGTGAGGGAATGTCTGCATCAGCGCTGTTGCTGCGTGACCAACGTGCGGTACAATTCTAGTAAATCGTTTTGTAAACCAATAAAACATCCTGCGCTTTATAAAATAAAGCCGAATGTAACGTACAGTAGAACTGATAGGGGAAGAAACTCCGCAGGCTTACATCATTTAACAGTATACATCAAGGTCAGGCTTTCAAAACCTTTGTAACTAACTCACTCACTCACTCACTCACTCACTCACTCACTCACTCACTCACTCACTGACCTTCTCGTTAAGAACTAGTAATAATTACTTGAAGAAAAGTCATTTTATTTAGTTTTTAATGCAAAATAATTTCTCATTAAAGAATCTGAAAGGATTTCTTCTGTAGATACCAAACAAATTGTGTTAGACGCTCTCTCTTCAAAAAGATTATTCATTCATTCAGGTTGACAGATCCCATCCGCATGCAAAGACACGTACTGACGTACGCACATGAATGAAGACAAGACTGTCGAATGCGTATCATGAGCGACTCTTCATAGCATATACGTGTCCTGCGTGAAGTTAACCACACGAGCGACCGACTGACCGATTGGCAGCAACAACGATGAAGCAGTTTCTCCCAACGTGCGCCCCTGCGCCTAGGCTTCACGCAATCCGCTGCACTTTCATGTGCCGCGGGTTGCGGAGAAGCCAGGCGCAGTAGTCGACCCCTCCCCCTCGTCCCATAGCGATGAGCCCTTCAGTGGAGGCCTGACGTTTTGGGACTTTTACGTCGCACAGTGTCTTTCCAGGTTCGCTTTTAATCCCTTCCTAGTTGATATTTAATACTTTGATAAATTTTCGATCTGTTTAGTTTGCAGCTACAGAACTTCCTTTTTTTTTATTCTGTGTTTTATTTCTATTTGCGGTGATGGAGCGCAAATGTCAATATGACTCGAAATATTATGTTTCTTAAAATTAAGTGCATAGTATTAAGACAGTAATTTTTTTAAATCCATGA